CCTAGTTTTTGGCCAGTACAAAAAAAGTCGTTCGGCTTCATTCCGAGCTCCATATGAGTGATCTCTCGAACCTTTTTGGATTTTCTACTTTCTGAACGGTTCTTCATTCTATGGGGAGCGAAAAAAACCTAATTTTCACGCAGAATACGGTTCAGGCCTTACAGGGCATGAAGCCAAAGTTCGTATTGTGAGAACCAGCTGATATCATGGAAGGCGGCTGAAAATCTGACCTGATGATAACCTAATACGGTAAACTCATCTTCCCAATAAAGGATTTTCATGCAAAATGCTCATCACCATTCGAATCAGCGTGTTTGATTACCTCAAACATGAATAGCTTTATCTCGTTCTGTTGCGAGACTCTCGGAATTCTCTAGCTTCTCTTCCTGGCTTTTCTAGTAAGAAGTATCGAAAGGGGGTTTCTGGCACACCCAAGAAACCCACAAATCTTATTCTCATTATTCAAAATTTTTCTATGATTCAAATGTTTATTAACAAACCATTAACGAGTCACGAGAATACTAAATAAGCTAAAAAATTAAAAATGAGAAATTTAGAATTGTATTCATGAAGGATAAACTTCCGGCTAATGTTAATGATGAGGAATGTGGAGTTGTAAATTTAGAATTGAGTGGAAATAGTGAAACTCATGAAGGGTGAATCATAATAAACTGACAATTTGCTTAGAAAGCAGAACCAAAGTTGAACTTTGGTGTGTGAGTTGGTGGAGGTGGTAATCCTAAAAATCGCACCATGCTTTCTTCATCCGGCAGTACTGGCATTACTAGACCTAAACTCTTGCAGAAACTGTTGCAGATATGACGCTTGAAGAAGTTCCGCATTCCGCCAGCACCATGGTTCATCGGTCCGAAACGGGTGTTGTCCACACAATGAATTGCTGGGTCTGTGAGGATCACTTTTTTCTGACCTTTTTCGTCTGTAGTGACGATTCCTTGTAAATCAACGACCATGAGCTTTGCTCCCGAAACCTGAATGTGGAGAAATCTGAGATGAACTGACTTTTTCCAAGAATTACCTGATAAGTCCAATGAGAAAATGTCATAAGAATGTCTATGGACACCAACGGAATTCCCAACTTCTGGGCTTTAGACTCCAGAATCGTGTAATTGGTGTTGTTTGTGAAGCGAACGAATAAGTCACCACTCTTATAACGACGCTCACAGGACATGAAGCGCTCTCCTCTTTCACTTGCCACACGAAGAGTTCGTATCTTCAAGAACTTAATCTCTTTGTCGATGCCAGTTTTATACTGAATGATATTTTTCAAAACATAATTAAGAATAAACATACTTTCAATTCCTTAGTGAATTCTGACGCCAAATACGAAGCGATTGTTTGCATTTGATTGGTGAGCTCATAACGTTTCGCGGTGTTCATTCCACGTCCAACATGTAAGTACTCTTTCAGCACAATTTTGTCATTCTTTGTTTTTAACTCCACGGATTCTTTCTTTTGGCTCTTAGCACCTTTTGTCGGATGTTTTACATAAGTGCTCTGATCGAGACCATAAAATGCCAAGCGTTCGCTACCTTTGGCAAAGGGATTTTGCGCGATTTTCACCTTAGCTGATTTTGGAACTCGCTTTCCCAGCGGAATGTCATCGACAATGTCTTGGATACTTTCGGGAAAGGAATAGCTTATAAAAGTCCCTAAATTTTAAGTTTCTCACCTAACTATTGACAAAGAACATACCCCTGTCCACGGGATATCTGAACCAATCCGGTTCATCTAATATCAAAGTATATGAGCGGATACTCCGCTTCCTTGCCGCAATCATAGTTGATTTAGAAACTGCCGAGCTCACCGATAACTGCACGGAGGAGACAACGAATTCAAGGATCTTATTCACATCTTGCACATTCAGTACGTGAACCGCTTCACCATAGACTTTTGAAAATTTCTCAATCATAATGTCGGTGTGGTCTGTGATTTTTCCGAAATGATATTCAATACCCTTTTCACGTAACTGCTGAAACAAGTCCGTGTACTGCAAACCGTTTGGGTCACCAGCTAAAAAATAATCGTATGAACGATTGTGCTGATCGTGAAGTTCTCGGCCATGACCCGGTCTATCTCCCATGTGACAAATGAGTTTAGCCCCCACTTCAGGGTCCCAATTGAGCTAAAATATAAGAAATCAAATGAGTTATCAAAAATTCTACCTTTAGTGCGCGGTCGAACCCACCTAGAACATCTTCACATCCGCCACCATCATACCCACCACCAAATGGTTTTATTCCCAGGCAGAATGCATTGAAAACTTCTAATGATTTCGTGAACTGAAGCTCTTCGAACTGTTTTGAATCGCCATAATCACGATAGGCAATCATTCCTAATTGAAGTTCTTTAACGACTGCTTCGCCATTCGTCTTATGGTGCAGCAAGTTATCAACTATGCTCTTAATAAACTTTTTCACACCATCAATGTGTGGTCCCATACTCCCGGTAGCATCAATCACGAAGCAAAGTTGAACGAAACTCGCTTGTCTAATTAATTTAAAGACCTGAAAATAAGCAAAAAATCACAATACGCTGATATGAAATTTACCTGCTCAAGGCGTTTCTCACGTAATGAAGTTGCTACTCGAAATCTGTCAACAAGTTCTTTTTCAGTGACATCCTCCTCTCCATATTCGAGAGCTTCATCCTCGTAAATGGCTCGTAATCGCTTGTTCTTCTCCCGTAAACTGATCACTTTCATTGACTTTGATGATTCAGCACTTTTGGATGGCTTTGATTTTTCTGAAAAACTCTTTGGTTAAATTAAATATTAGAAAAAATATTAACCTTTCTCTCTAGTCCAAGCAGATTCCGCATTTTCCGAAACTGGCCAACTGCACTCATTGCCAGCCATATTTTGAAAGGAAATAAGATTCAAATATAGTTTGAGAATAAAGAAAAATTCTCAGCTCTCAACTATGGGCTACACAACCGTAGCAGATTATTCACTGAATCGTAAATGATAATGCTATCTTTGCTGAGAGTTTTTGATTGTTTAAACATACATGTACACAAACAAAACTTCTGGTACTCATGAAGGGTGTGAATCATATTAAACTGACAATTTGCTTACAAAGCAGAACCAAAAATGAACTTTGGTGTGTGAGTTGGTGAAGGTGGTAATCCTGGAAATCGAACAATACAGAAGGAAATAAATTATTATATCTTCTTGTGATAGTTTGAGTGTACGTGAGTCATACCTAGGGTACTTGTCATACACCACAAGAGCCAGCTGATATCATGGAAGACTGCTAAAAATCTGACCTGATGATAACCTAATACTGTAAAGCTCATCATCTGTATAAGGCTCTAACTTCCCAAAGAAGCATTTTCATGCAAAATGCTTATTACCATTCGAATCAGCGTGTTTGATTACATATAATATCCAAAATAGGTCTGATTTAATAAAATTTGATTTTTGCTCATCCGCCAGAGCCTCGCCGAAACTGATTTTTTACCCCCAAAAACGG